CACGATCTCCGCAGAGGGTTGCACTTTCGGTTGACGCTGTTCGTCCCGCACTCCGCCTTTAAGAGAGAATTTATAAAGTGGGGAAATGTTTTTTCATTAGGACATCTCCCGTGCTAGTTTTCCATACTCACACTTGCCTACTCATTGCATGCTTGCATACTCATTACATGCTTGCATACTCATTGCATGCTTGCAACTCACCACTTGCATACTTACACTTGCATACTTCCACTTGCATACTTTGACACTTGCATTGCATACTTTGCACTTCACTGCTTTCGCTCTTCCACTGACACAGGGCTACGTATAGCGTTCATGTTGTCCTGCAAGTGTGGTGAAAGTGTCAATGTCTAAGTGTAAGTGTCGAAGTGTCAGTGTTCAAAGGATTTTCCGGAAGAACCCTTCGCAATGCTTTCGGGAAAAACAAAAACAATAAAACCAACTTTTAAAACTATAAGCACTTCCGCAAAAACGCCTAAGTTCAGGAAGACGGCGGGGCTACCCGCTGTTGAGGCGGCTCAGGCCTCAGGCTCAGCGCTTCTTCTTTTCTGCGGCGTTATCCGGTCCTTTTATGTTGTTTTTTTTCACCTTTCATTCTCCTTTTGGCAGACTGCCAGATGGGTGGCCAGCCCTTGCCTCGGCCTTTGCCCTTTCCCTTGTTTTTGCGAGGGCTGGGGGTGTTGCTGCAGTATTCATACACCTCCCGCTGCCAGAACAGGTGGTCGTGGCGTAGTTTGCTGAGTGCGCAATGTTGAGGACCGGATCCGAGGGAGGGGGCTTGCGACCTGCAATGTCTTCCCCATAGAAACAATCATACCATTCATCCAGTGCGTTAGTGATGTGAAGGTGGGCGAACTGGGGTTGGCCAGCAATGCACATCAGCAGGGTTGTTGCACATTCGTTCCAGTTGTCGCCGGGTGCGGGGGTCCGCCCGGGTCTCCTCTAGACCTTGCGGGTGGTCTTGATGGGGCGTTCCCCATCGTGTGGGAGGGCCCCGACAATGTGTTTGGACTGGATGTAGCCTACCTCTCCCGAACTGCCTCTTCAGGTAGGCATCACTCCCTTGGGATTCCAACTTGGGCTTGAAGCACTGGTAGCGATGGGCATAAGCTTCCTCAAGGTTCCTGCGGCCATCGGGCCCTTTGTGATTTCAGGGGGCGCGTGGGCTGCTGGCCGGCCCACGTTCAGTTGTGTTGCCATCTGCCTTTTGGTCTCGGCGGCTCAGGCTGCTGCCAAGGGGCGTCAGCGGCCATGGCTGCGGGGTTGTCCGTCCCATACCCCACCTGTGGGGGGGGCACAAAACCTAAACCCGAATCAGACGCGGCCTCCATGTCCATGGAAGGTACATCAAGGTTCCACAGAGATCGGCCACGCCACCGGACCCTCGGCCAAGTCTGCCATCGATGCATCAGGATCATCGAGGCATCAACTGCCGTAGGGGCCGGAGGCCCCCCGACAGCGCCAGGTGCCGAGGCGGCCTCAGCCATGGTGTCTGCGCTCGCCATGGGCAGGGCCGTGCCCTTGTTGGCATCTTCCAGGTCCGCATACTTGGACCCGCAAGTCCTCCATGTGCTGGGATAGAGCCTTGTTCTTCCACCAGGACGGGAGTCCCAAAGCTGGCAAGGCCATGAGCCGCCTCACCCTCGAGGGCCAAGGAGGCCGCATCCGCCTCCTCATTGAGCTGCGCAAAATTGGGGCTGTCCACGGTAGCCCACCTCAGCGTCCAGCTCGGGGTCCACAGCCGCTCCAGGCTGGGCCTCAGTAAAGGTCTCAAGCATCATGTACTCTGCTTCCATAGGGTGTGCCATGGCGATGTTCCCTGAAAGAAGACCTATGGGCGTGAGTTTTTCAAAAACCTGTAGGCAACTGTGTTGCCTCCAACCTTGAGCCCCCCGGGACATTTTTGTGAACACAAAACTTGCAACCGCAAGCTCTATGCAAGTGTGAATATCTTCACTGTATATATATATATATATATGTATACATGTGTTGCTTTCGCGGTTTACTTTCGCAGCTAAAAAAGTGGAAGGCTGCGCAGGGCGCTTTTGCGAGCTTTCGCAGAACAAAAAGCTCCACGCATTTGCGTTCGCAGAAAGTTAACAAGTTCCACTTTTGCATGTGTCCTTTAAATAAATGGCTAAGGGCAAAGAAAACTCGAGGAAATGTCTCACCTCACACGTCCATGTTTTGGGCATCCTCACAAATCACATCAGCCCGGCGACTGAAATGACGCGTTCTGACCGTGAAAGAAGTACAGGGTTGCGCAGAAGTATGGTACAGTATGGTTGCACGACGTCGAACAAAAGCCAAGGCGCATCCTCACTTTACTCAGCCGTGAGCCACGTGAGTTGACGAAGGGGAGCGCATGGGAGCCCCCAGACTCAGCATTGATCTGAGCGAACCACAGACCACACCTACGCCGAAGCAGGTTGATCTTTCCGTCTTCGCCCCAGCCAACCGGACTGTCAGCAGGTGAAAGTTTGCAATTTGCAAAGGCGCGCTTTCCTCAAACCATTTGACGCATGGCTTCGTTCCTTCCTGCCTGCCTTGCCGTGCCTTGCCTCGCCTGCCTTCTTGCCGTGCCTTGCCTTGCTGCCTGCCCGCCCACCTGCCTGCCTTGTGACACATGGGCGTGGTGCTGTTTCAGACGTATGGTTCATTTTGTCTACACGGCCAGGGGATGCTGACGGGTATCTCCCACCTCTGCTACGGCCACACGCCCTTACGCTGCTACGGCTTGAATCGTTTTGAATTTCGCAGTTGAAGCTCAAGAGCATTTGCGTTTGGATGCGAGGACCTTCTCGTAAACTCCTACCGCTCAACACACGGAAGCATGGACGCAGACTTCACTGAAAGGCATGTTGCGCTTGGGCCCTTGTGTGCCCTGCCATGTTTGGGCAGCAGCTGGTTTCTCAAACACTGGGCCATGTTTGTTCCCCCTTCAGGATAACTGTGGGCAAGCCCCACCTTTGAGAGAGGCGGGGTCATCCTTCTTTTCAAAGGCAGATTTTGGCAAAAATCAAACAGGTGGAACGGTGGAAAGTAGGGAGCTCCCTTGTCGCCGTCTCAGTGCACTGACAGTGGTTGGGATGCCTTCATGTCGAGCCTGCGGTTGCAACTGGACAGACCCAGCGCTTTGATCCGCAACGTGAGGCAGCAAAGCGTGGATTGCCACCCATCTGAAAATTGCTGAAATCCTTGTGCAGCTCAATGGTGGTTGATTGAACCCTAGCTATTCAAGCTGACTCGCTGATCATGTCTCGCCTCCCTTGACTTGTCATAATTGAGAAGCACTGAGCACCCATTGTGCCCAGGCCAGCGCCATCACAGTTTCCCGTTCTCCGGGGCAAGCAAGGGTGAAAGAAAAGCAGCAAGCACACCTTGGAGCTACTAGTGCGTCCATGCGTTTGATTTCGGTTCGGATAATTGATCCGGGAAGCATTGAGTTGCATTGCAGGGCTCCCTTGCTGGCGCCAAGAACTTTCAAGTCCGCATCAGTGGAGGTTGCAGTCCTTCCGTTAGACCCAAAACACAAGGCTCCTCAGCACTCGCGCTTTTTCACCACTGTGCATTTCGTCATCTTGAGACAGACTTCATCCTGTATGCCTCAACAAATACCCAGCGCTCTGAAGGACTCACCCTCTTCGTTCACATCGAGTCGAATGATCGACGGCTTTAACAATGATGTTCATGTGGAAGAACCAGTCCTTGCAGAAGACTTTGTAGTCTGTATAATTACAAGTGAAATTCATGCCGTTGGGATTGAACAGGTAGTTTCCTCAACCAATATGGCGTTGGGTGCTTGTGCTGCACACAGGACAAAATCCAGGCCGATTTGATATGCACACGGCTCATTTAATTGCCAGCCGAAGGTTTTGGCCAGTGGGCATGTCAACTTAGAGATCAAGGGCCACATGTATTGGATGTCACAGCAATAAGCTGACTCAGACCCACAGCCGGCACAGAGCCACAGTACTCTTACCGCTTCATCAGACCTTGGAGCAAGCCCCCTCGTGTCAGCTGGTATATTGCTTGGCTCGAAGAAGCAACCCGCCCACGGCAACAAAATGCACATGTGACCAAATTGAGAACGTTCTCTTCATTTGTGTGGGTTTCCATCTTGTCCCAATGGTCCCATGTCTTGTTCTTTGGTGTTCGTTCAAGAAAATCACTGAAGCATGATTGGGTGATGCTTCCGGCACAAGCACCCCGACAATGCGCCCCATGCGGCGCAGCCAACGGCGGGACCTTGGATGCGCATATGGGCGCGCCATAAAGACATGAGGATTTCATTCTAGGTAACCATTCTGTACTCGCAGTCTGGATGTATGCAATACAACAGGTTTTGGTCTCTTTAAAAGCGGAAATGCCAACCTCGAGTTGGGGGTGGCTGAGGCTGATGGCAATGTGCTTCTGGTGGGCTGTCATGAAGTCCAAACTCAAAGGGCCCGGCTTCGGACCTTTTCGCTCGCCACCATAAGCATCCTCGCAAATGTAGCAGGTCAAGCCGTATTGGGTTTTTGTCTTAGCAAACTTGCAGGAAGAAGTCTGAGATGTCCAGAACTACCGTCCATCTGCTGCAAATTCAGCAACTGAGCACTGGTTGTGAGGTTGAAGCCTCAAAATCTTTCTAATCATTACCGTTTTGGAAAGATGTTTTTTGGCAGAAAAGTTCTTTTCGCCGGATTGGCCATCAACGGTCTAAGTTTCCAATGATTCATCTTCTTGCCACACCCAGGCCTCATACTTCACCTTCAGCTCTAAGCGTCTGCGGCGGCGCATGCGCCGGCTTTGCTCTTGAGTAATGCCCCGTGCAATCTCACGCTGGCGCCTGGCCAATTTCATTGCACCATGTCATTGCAAGAACCACCGGCCTCAAATCTAGGTTAGGAGGGAAAGTGCCACAGCAGCAAACCCACACTGCATGTTCGGGAGTAATGACCGAGTCTGAGTCTAGTGACTAGTGCTGTCCTTGTGCGGTTCGCACCCCAAAAGTGATAATTTATCAAACAAGCCGAATCAAACCGAACAAGCTCGGAGACAAGTAATCAAACCGAACACAAGAGAACTTCAGTGGCAACAAGTACCCCAATTTACTCCATCGATGAACACGGACGCATCTTGACAAAGTGACAAAGTGAAAGTCCCTTCTGGAGCACAGAGAGACAGCAGCTCCAAGAGACAAAAGCAACTGAGCGATGCTTTGCTTTGAAGCTACTGTGCAAGCTTGTGTACCCACACGTGTGTATACACGGTGGTTGCTGCTGATCACGTGTTTGTCTGTTCTAGCTCTTGCGCATGCTAGAAAAGCATCATATAACAGTTGCATCCCACATCCTGATCCAAGGCCAAATCAAGCCTGTCTATCAGTCAGGACTCACATATATATATATATATATGTTTTTGTTCGTTCAAGTGTCATGTCCAAAACCACGTGCATGTAACACCTGTCAGAACATTCGCACCAACTCATCCATGTCCGTATCCGCACATATGCAAACACATATCCACAGACGCGGACAAGTGGTACACTCAGCACACATCAATGAGGCATTCCACGCTATTTCACAAGTGATTATAAAGCATGCAAATACTTCTGCAGCGTGGGCCAGATCGTGCCTCATAGTCAAAGCCCTGGCGATCTGCCTTCTGATCTTTTTGAACATGTGGGTTTTCATCCTGGCACCGCCAAGTCATGCCGTCGCACTTCGAAAAAGCACATGATGATGCTTCGCTCTTGCCTGATTATATAGAATGCTGAGCAGAAAAGATTTGCTTCCTTACATTGGGCGTGTGCACGTAAGAAGAAGACCGTGATGATCCGCGATGTACGCTCAGAAACTCTCCCGTTGGCTAAAAGGATATCCTTGTTACTGTGCTCTGCTGTCAAAAAGAAGATCCTCGTCACTGTGGCAACGCGTGACTGTGTCATGACTCTGTCATGGCATGTCTTGCCAATTTCTTAGAGGGAGAGATATACTTTCAGAGAAAGACAGGTGCGCACCCGGGCATCTCAACAGCACGCTGCATTCGAAGCCTAAGCCGGAGGCCATGCAATGCTGGTGGTGCTGAAACTCGTTGGTTCTCCCAATGCTTGCCAAATGCATGCTTGAGTATTGCGTTTATGTTCGAAAAGCCATAATGGTGAAATCTCATTGCGTAGTCGAGTACTTCACAACTTTTGGGACCCAGTCTTCAGCAAAGCTCGCTTGCCAGCGATGACCACCTCGCAAAGAGAGGAAGAACAAGCTTAGCAGCAAATAAAGGAATTGTGCGATATCAAGCATTGTCGAAATTCACGTTTCGGGCATGTGGTGAAGAAAAGGAAAACTCTTTGATACCTATTGCCTATTGATGTCCGTAGTACAAACCAGTACATCACTCGCATCTCATGCAGATTGCGACTTGTAGGTCCATGTCATTTTGTGCAAAGGGCAGGCCAAAAGTAAAGGAGCTCTGCCTGTCTATCTATTTGGCATGAAGCATTCTCCAAGAGAATGTTGATCACCAAACCATTGTTATTTTCTTTGAAGAAAGAACTTGTAAGGGTCAACAAGAAGCTACTAGGGGCTCCTGGCCGTACTACTAGGAGCAATGTCTCGCTACTAGGAGCAAGGAAGAAAGAACTTGTTAAGGGTCAACTAATTGTGGACAAGTTTGTGTGAGACCTCTGAGGAGCTCACATCCTCAATTTCTTGATCGAAGGCTTGCTCCTCGAGGGACATTTTCCTGACTAATCAGGATGCAACACAAGGATGGTGAGTCTTGTCAGCCACCTCAGAATAGAGAATTGGGCAGAATTGGGTGGATCTGAATCTTCAGATCACATGGACCGCGGACCGCGGCATGCGAATGCCCCATACTGTTCTCTTTTAAACGATCTGTCGTATACTTCGTACACCCTGCTGAACCAGCGCCTACCACATTCAATGATGTCTTTCACACAAAAGTTCTGCCTCAATGCTCAGACTTGGAGCACCCTCTTTTGTTTGTGGGCAGGTTCAAATCCTCCAAATGGCACATTGGCAAGGGGGGTTCTGGTTGTAACTAAGAGCAACCGCACGAAACCAACATCTCATGTCATTGCAAACTAAGGCAGAAGGGCCTTCGCAACTTGGTCAAAGCATCAGTGGTCTCCTCAACCTAGCAGTTCGGAAAAATCTACAGACCAAAAAACCTATATAGCTATTCTTGTGCCTAGACAATCCTTTGAAAAGTCAAATCGTATCCAGCAACTTGAAGACGTGACACTCTAGGCATCTCAACACTCATCTACACCCCACACAGGTATTGCTACTTCTCCCTTTAGCTAGCAGCTAGAATTCCTAAGTTTTATAGAAATCAATTATATATATAAGTATATATATATATATAGACTGCTCTGATCTGCGAACTTCACGAGCTGTTCCTGCAACTTCTCGGCTAAAGAGGCCGAGTCCTCGTTCCACCACCTGGTTGGCAAGGGTCCAAACAGCTGTCGTCCCAAGCTTGAAAAGCAAGACAAACGAGTTCCAAACAAGGCAAAAAAACAAAAAAGTAAAAGGACCGGATAACCCCACATGTTGAGCTTATAAGAAGTGAGAAGTAGAGACTGATAAAGAAAGAGGACCGAAAGATACTGGACGATAAAGTGAATGAGACGAGTGGTGTGTGGTGAGTGGTGTGCGACAGACAGACACAGACAGACAGACAGACAGACAGACAGACATGAATTACATACATGAATTACATACATTAATTACATACATGAATTACATACATTGATTAAATACATACACTACATCACATCACATCACATCACATCACATTACATTACACACATACATACGTACATACATACATACATACATACATACATACATACGTACATACATACATACATACATACATACTGAGTCCAGGTAGGTATCCTAGTGAAATTTTGGTGTAGCTGGTTTTAATGCAGAAAATGTTTCACGCATACTTTGATTTTCCTGTAATGTGTTTTCCAATTAGGCGAAAAAATGTCAAAAAGAACAAGAGTTCCACAGTTTCACCGCATTACTCACATCTAAAACCACAGCGATTTTACAGCACCCACAGTTACACGCAAGCACAAACAAGAGAGCGAATGATTATTTTTCCATCTAACTGCTGACAATTTTGGTCGTGTCCAACACTGACTGTTCACTTTTCACGTTCACATGCGCCTTTTGAGCATTTCACTTGATGTAAATGGGCTCTGACACACATGTTCCTTTTGAACATACGAAACCGAGAAAGTAAACCCCATTGCCAGGCTGAGGTGTAAGCCACAATGCAGATTCAGCTCCTTGATGCCATGTCCATGTTAACCCTTGCATCATAAACGACGCTTCGAGATGGCAACCTTGAGTTGTCAATTCTCATATGGTCCAACAATTGTGGCCGCATCTTCAACCGGGGGCCCTGTCAATTCCCTCTGGCATATAAGCATCATTGGCACACCCACACAGAACAAGTCACAAGTAGTTGCCATGATGGCGCCAACAAAGCAAAAGCCTACCACTACTGCAAGGCAAGGACCAAAAATTGTAAAACTGAAATGGAAAAACTTGAAGTGAAAACACTTGCATGGTAAAACTTGAAATGAAAAAACATTAGTATAACAAACACAAGTAGCATCTCAGCAGTTTAGTCAAGCCAGCTCAAGCTTTGCCAAGCAACTGGTTCTTTCAAACTATCACACAAAAGCACCGTGTCCAGAAGATGCAAAGAGTCCCATGCCAAGCCCCCCCAGTCAACTTACGCTGTCCAATTGTTGGCGTCAAAAACTCTCAAGCGTTGACAGGGACTGTTGCAAATCTGAAATGCGCGTCCATAAGTTTGCAACTGTCTCACCACGTTCCTTCTCTGATGCTGGTATCAATTGGCAAGCTTTGAGGTCTTTCAATACACCAAGCCCTTAGTGCATGCGGCGCGATAAAGTCTGAATTTCACCTTGGGTCGCCTGGGTCTTGGTTTCTTGATCCACCTGGGCAGAAGAATCACCTGGCGCAACATGATTCGGCTGTTGCTGCTGCATGTCTGAGCCTGAACCAGCAGAAAGAAGCACTGCCAAGCTGAGGTTGGGATAATTGAGCCTTTTTGACTTTGTCCGACTTGTCTGGCCGTCATTGCCCAGAGAATTGAAAGCGCCAAACGTCAGTGGGACTGAGGACGCAAGCCAACACTGGATCCTGCGCTGGGCACAATCCAAACTCTTTCTCAATGTCATCCAAAGTTGTGCGTTGATCCTTTCCATGGTCATCCCGAAAATGTAGACTGAAACTATCTTCCAGCATGTGATCTCTCAAACCCAAAACCCAGAGGCAAAACGGAGTGACTCATTACACCGCGCACGCCCCCACGATCACCAAACACACGCACCGTTTTGAATTGGGGTTTAAAACCTGCACTGAATGTCCTGCCACCCCTTTCACTCACTGTCAGCCTAGTGTACCATCCAGATGAGCAGGATAGGCTCCAGATCACATTGACACCATCGTCAATGTCTTTTGCACATCTTCTTGTAAAATGCGATCTTTTGCCCATGCCACCGTGTCTGAGTCTGAATCAGACTCGAGCATCAATGCATACATGGCTTAGCCATGGCTTGCTTCAAGTCTGCGTTTCAAGACTCATACACCGCCCGAAAGTAAGATGAACATACATATGTTACGTTCATACATCGAATTATGTTCATACATACATATGCTTGGCTTATATATATATATATACGTGTGTGTTACTGTTGACCAACTGTATCCAACAACCCAAAAATATTCAGCGGTAATCAAACCCCTTCACTCTTGATCAATTATGACCAACTCTGAGAGTCTGAGCATGACACTCTATACCAAAAAACACCATTCTCGGCTTATCTGAACCAATTGGTAGAGGTGCACGAGCGAGCCAGTGAAAGAGTCCAACTCTAGTCCAGAGTCCAAACGACACAAACTGGCAATCTGGTAGGTGCACAGTCTAGTCTAATTGCATGTTCTCCAATTTAAATATGTAATCCAGTTAGTTGAAAATGCAGGGTGCACTGCACTACTACTGCCAGGCACAAGAAATGAAGACACACCGCCTCACCAGCAGCACAAAACCCTATTTCTAAATTGCCAGCCACAACTACAAATGACATACCACGTCTTCATGCAGCGGCGCAAGAGTTAAATACCCTACCGCTTTACTTACCACCTCACCAATAGCACAAGAACAAAGAAATCAAAACATGCCACCTCGCCAGCAGCGCAAGATCAATATTAATTACATACCACCTCACCATGCGCACAACATCAACAGAGAAATGAAGACATACCACCTCACCAAGCAGCACAAGGACCCGCCCACTACCACTTCACCCACGCTGACTATGTGGCACATCACCAATAGCACAGGAACAACACACTTCACCAACCAATTCACACATGATGATATGGTACCACCTCACCAGCGAGTTGGCAGCATAGTGACCAACACATCTACCTACATGCCATCCGTCACAAGGATGCTGGCTGGATTCAGTATGCATACATGCATACATACATGCATTGCGTTGTATTGCATTGCATTGCATTAATTACATTAATTACATTACATTACATTACATCACATTACATTACACTACATACATCCACGCACGCATGCATGCATACATACATACATGCATACATGCATAGACGCATGTAGATATGTACGATGTCCGAATACAAGTTCTATACATGTGACTCAAACGTCTGGAGGGCCATCGCGGCCCCTGATCTGAATGAGTTTCAGATCTCTTTGCGTGCCTCTCTTGCCTATCTTCGTCCAGCCCTTCCTGGGCACGCTGGCTGTTAATTGCAGTGAACTGACTTGAACAGCCACCGAAAACTCTGCGGTCGCCAGTCTGCTTCAGCCGTGAACTTGCTGTAGTTGCGGTTCCTCTTTTCAGGTAGTGCGCCACACATCGTTTACAACCTCTTGACCTCTTCCGCGCGCAACGCGCACCTGGCAATCCCCCTAGAAAGCATCTCCCCTCCCACTGGAGCCTGTGTGAGATCAGCCTCTGGCTCTGCCCGCCTCAGGTATCAGAAGCCAGGCCCTAACCCGGCTATATTCCTCCCAAAATTTTGTTTCATTGGACTAGAACTAAGAAGTGGAATGGCAGTTGCAAATCTTCCCATGCAGTTGACGGATTTGGGAAGCCACTTTCGCCAACAGAAGGAAGCATCAATCTTCGAATCACTAGCCTCAATCCTCCTTACAACTTTGCAAGAAGACTTTCTCGCTACGATATCTCTCAATGTACCCAATAATCAAAAACATCCCTAAGCAACAAAAGCAGCAAGCAGCCTTTTGTTGTGTTGCTTTGAGAGGTGCGTGGGTCCTCCCCAGACCCCAGAGGTGTGTTGTGACCGTTCTACGTTTTAAATCAAGGGTGTGGCAGGCAGTTTCACTCACCCGCTCGACCCTGACAAGACCAGGGGCCTGGGGTCAGGAGGACTCCCACCAGTTCCGGTCACGGGATCTTGGGTGGGACGCTTGGAGGAGTTCGTACTCGACAGAAGACGAGTCGCCAATGGAAAAAGAAAACAGATTGTTCGGAGCCGGTAGCCGGCGCTCCGATGAAAATCCTTGAAAGTCCGGATGTGTCAATTCATCCGCCCAGGTGTTGAATTCCCGGGGTATGTGGCTAGGAGCCAAATTGCAGCCCTCACGGTGAAGAGTCAGCATCAGGAGT